CAAAGAGGAAGGGGGAAAGTAAGAGAGAGAAACAATGAGAATGATTGATCGGCTGCCTCCTGACACACCACCTACTGGAGATCGAGCCCATAGCCTCAGCATGTGCCCTGACCTGGAATCGAACTCTGTGTGACCTTCTGGTTCAACCACTGTGCCACACCTGGTAGGCTAAAAACATCTTAAAAACTACAGTGTCATGTGTGATGAGTATGACTGTTATAACGGAGGCATGTATAAGATAGAGTCCACATAAGGAAAGGACACGGCGCTTGGGGAGGCATTCTAGGCAGGATGAGGGTCAGAGCATTGCCTTGTCTGGAGCCCGCAGGTGGTGGGATCCTTTTACACCCAGGAAGGTGTGGGAGGAGGAGTGGGGTGTTGGTTTTCTGCAGAAGAGTCTGTCCCTGGAAGGTGCCATGTGTAGTAGTTTTGGGAGTACACTCAGGAAGCATATTTTAATTCCACATTGTTGCAGTAAAAATAACTAGCATTTGTAATATGTGACTTTTGTGGGTCTTAACAGTGTGCCCATTAACAAATCAATTTTTTAAAATTGAAAAAATAGTAAAGGAGATCAGCATGTAGAGGAAGAATTAGACCAGAAGTTGGTAAAACCTAAACTGTAGGGAATTGTTGGAAGGTTTGAATAACTGACTTGCCTAATGTGTGGTGTGAGTGTTTGGCAGTGTGGTGTGCCTGACAGAAATGAGCGTCTAAGTCAGGGCACGGGAAGCTGCTGACTAACAGGTAATTGGTTATGGAGGTGGTGGGGAAGGGCAGGTCTTAGGCACGCCTAGGTTTCTGATGTGGTCAGCGGCATGAGTGGGTGACGTGGATGTCACGCAGAGTACAGGAGATCCTGGTGGGCGTGTGGTTAGGAGGCTTCAGACCAGTGGCATAGGAAGTGAAGATTGCCGAGTTGGGTTAATTGCTCCCATATTTGTTATTACCTGTTGCCCTTATTCTTTGTTGCTGTTTTTGTTTTACACCTTTTTCTGCCTTTTGGGCTTTAGTTGAACATTTTATATGACTATGTTTTTTGTCCTTAGTATTTGTTACACAGGCAGACCCTGGAGATATCAGGGCTATCAGTAAGGAGACAATCACAGTAATGGGAGCGTAATCTTTTTGCTGGCGGAGGGTCTTACTTTTAGCTTACCAAAAACACCTCTGTGAAGGACAGTGACATGAAACAGCACCATGAAATGGGCTTCTTAATCCTCTACGTGATTGTCATGTAACCAGTGGAGGTTACATGGACCAAATACTAGCTTCCTTCAAAGTATTTTCTAAAAACAGATATTCCTAATTCCTCTCTCCCTGCCCATCATGGTCATTCATTTCACTTACAAATATATGGATGCCTGTATAATCGAATAATTATTGTTATTATGCTGGTCAGTTAGGAATAAAAAAAGATTTTACTTTTTTGTTATCCTCAACTGAGGGTATTTTTTTCCATTGCTTTTCAGAGAGAGTGGAAGGAAGGAGGAGGGATTAGCATTGCTACTGGACTGTTGACTACAGACTGTTCCTATCCCATCAAGTGTTCATGAATGACCTTTTCCTACTCCAGGAGCCAGATGGCATTTAGTGGTCTATTCTTAGTCACCTCCATGCTGGTCCACTTCCTCAGTCATTCCTTGTGTCCCTTGACCAGGCCTGTAATTTTTGCAGCCTCTTTCCTTTCTTGCCTGACCCATGTCCAAGGCTCTTGTTTCTCTTCTGCCCCAGACGTACATGAGCAGGACAATTAATTTTATTTCATCTGCCTTCTCCCCTAAGGGAGAGACGTGCAGGTGCACACTGTCGGTAGCAGTGAGCACTGGAGTCCTGCACTTGTGGGACAGCTGGTTTCTCCTGTGCTGTGGCTGATGGATGCACTGCTTATCAGTGATCAGCTCACCTCCACTGAGAGGGGAGGGTGTGCTTGAGTCAGCCGGCACCTGCAGTGGGTGAGGGTGGTGATGCTGGTACCATTAAAGATGGAGAAAAGGGAAGGTATTTGAGATAGTTTGCTGGACACTAGACAAAGCTGAATTAACTCACTTAGTGTGTGGTGATGCTGGTGATATTTCCAGTCATGCAGCTTGGAAGCTCAAGGTAGAATTTACTAGAGAATGACCAGGTGGGACCTGTTGGAGGGTGGTCAACAGATTTGGTCATGTTCTATTTGAGATATCTGTCAGATGTCCAGATGGCTAAGTCAAGTAGCTGTCTGTCTATTAATGTGACGTACATAAGAGAGACCCAGGATTGGCCATACAGTTGGAGAACCATTGCTAACTATATGCCATTTAAATAATGGGCGTGCCCGAGCTTTCCCAGCAGGACTTGTAGAAGGAAGCGAGCTGGCAGGAGAGGCAGACCAGAGACTGCATGGACCTGAAAGCCAGGTGTGCTCAGGGCTTTGGAAGTCACACAGAACGAGCCCTGAAAATGTCTCGGGGTGCTAATGGGGAGGCTGGCTCTTGACTTTAAATGAGAGGATGCTTCAGGTGTTGGGTGGGAGCTGGCCAGGGCTGGACAAGGGAATAGAGAAGGGTCAGCATCGGCAAAACGGGTAGCAGGGTGTGATTGGTCTCTCTCAGTTCACTTGAATTTTCTTCATGGGGTGATTTTCGTTTAGAAAGAAGAAAAGCACTAGCCTTGGAGGGCGCCTGTGTGCAATTGACCCTGTTCACAGGAGTGCCGGGGGGCAGGAGTCTCCCCGGGGGATTGTAGGTGGTTGAGCAATCACGAACTTACCACCTGGTAGGCAAGGCTTTCTGAGTTCCACCCATCTTCCCATGGCTGTGCCAACTGCCTTGAGGATCTGGCTGCCACAAAACCATAATTGTTTGTATAAACGTCGTACTTATTGCAAATATAAGGTGAGCCATTGGGACTTGGAGAACCTGGGCCTGGACTTTGAAATGGTAGCAAAAATACCTAAGCATGGTCTCTGACACACCAGATGACCTCTGAAGTGGGAGCTTTGTGCAGAGGTGTGTCTCTCCTGTTGTGACAGTGGGCTGGCATCATTCCCTGTCTGTCACTGCTAAGACTGCCGCAGACCCGTGGCTACAATAGCTCCCAGTGAATGTAGCCCAGCGTATCCTTAGTCTTTTGAGTAGAGCTGAGGCATGCATGCTAGTTTTCTGCTGCTTTCTGGCGGCTGCTGCACTATTGTGGCTGATGGCCAGGTTTTTAATTCTTGAAGATTGCAGGTTGCTGTGCCTCTGGTCATAAGAACGGCTACTTCTGTGGGTGGTCATTTCCAGGTTGAACTTAACATTCTCACTGCTGCACTCTGCTTTGAATGATGTAATTACCAGTGAGAAAAACTTTTATAATAGTTGTCGCACTCCCATATCTTTTAACTGATTACATTTAAAAGTTTCCCTAATATCTTACGTTGAACATATTTAAAAAATGGAAAAAACGGCAATGAACAACCTTGAACCCAGACATACCTTCCACTAACTATTGTGCCACATTTGGTGTGTGCCTCTTAGCTAGTTGGACTTGAATGCCAGGTTGGAGGAATTACAAGAAAATAGTAATTATGTCGTCTTTCCCCCCTAGTTTGTAATTTAAAAAAAACACACACATATTTTTGATGTCAGAGAGAAAGGGAGAGGGAAAGACAGAAACATTAATGATGAGAGAGAATCATTCATCAGAGCCTGCAACCCAGGCACGTGTCCTGACTGGGAACTTAATTGTGACTTCTGGCTCACAGGTCAATGCTCAACCACTGAGTCATGCTGGCTGGGCTAATTGGTAATTTAAAAAACATTGTGGGACTCTACTTGAGAAATACGTATTTTACTATTCTGTTTTTAAAAAATACATTTTTATTGATTTCAGAGGAAGGGACAGGGAAAGGGAACAACATCTGTGATGAGAGTGAACCATGGGTTGTTCCAGCACACCCCCTCCTGAGGAGCGAGTCCACAACCTGGGCATGTGCCCTTGACCAGAATCAAACCTGGGACCCTTTAGTTCACAGGCCGATGCTCTATCCGCTGAACCAGACCTGCGAGGGCCATATGTAGGGCCATAAGTGGCAAATTTGTAGTCTGTTCTATTACTGAGTTTTTTTTTTTGTTTTGTTTTTTAATATATTTTATTGATTTTTCACAGAAAGGAAGAGAGAAGGATAGATAGTCAGAAACATCGATGAGAGAGAATCATCGATCAGCTGCCTCTTGCACACCCCCTACTGGGGATGTGCCCGCAACCAAGGTACATGCCCTTGACTGGAATCGAACCCGGGACCTTTCAGTCCGCAGGCCGATGCTCTATCCACTGAGCCAAACCGGTCTTGGCTGTTACTGAGTTTCTTAAACATTTAATATTTGGAACTTTCATTGGTGTATTTGAGGTTATATATTATTATTTTCTGAATTTCACGTTACTTCACACTGATGGCCCTTAAAGATGGCCCCCTTTTCCCTCTCAAGATGTGGGGAGACCAAGGTGTGTGGTTCCATGCTGTGGATCCTCTGGGTGAGGCACTCTTTTCCTGGTGGCCCTAATGTGCTGCCCAGTGCCTGACACGGGACACAAATAATTGACGAGGCAACAAGCTTCTGAGCATTCAGGCGAGAAAGGATGTTTGCCAGGGGCCTGTCAGTTGCTGCTGTTCAGGTGGGCACCACATCTCTGGCAAGTCACCTGTTTTATTTTGTTTAGGTTGGCGATTTTCAACTGGTGTGCCGCAAAAACTTTTAGAAATGCAATACCAGCCTATGTAGTCAGGGGCACTGACCTCTTTCTCCTTGAATTGTCAAATGAAAACAGCCAATACCATAGCCATCCAGTGTGAATGAATCAAAACTATACCTATTTTTTTTTTGTCAGGTTGGCAAAATATGTTTTGGTGTGCAGCAGAATTTTAGTAATTAGCTTATGTGCCATGAGGTAAAAAAGTTGGGAAGTCCACTGTTTCCCTACCCTGATGTCACTGACCCTGGATTTCTAATAGCAGGACTCGTTCCAACAGCCTGTAAAACATGGTGGATTACTATGAAGTTCTAGGCGTGCAGAGACATGCCTCCGCCGAGGACATTAAAAAGGCGTAAGTAATTGTATTTCTTAAATCGTCTGTGCCGTTGGACAGCATAACTCTGTATTGTCTATCAAAACGGCATTCAGGAGGGAGGGAGGGATTAGGTCGCATGGTTTCCTCTGTTTCTTTCCTTGGGGCAGAGGATTCTGTTTCTGCTGAAAGTGGGTCACACTTCCTGAGGATGTGAGATAACCCCAGAGAGCCTGGCATTGGACTTTGAAATGGAGTTGACTTGGCACTTGGGGAGTGTGGTGCCACAAGCATCCTGTGGGGTCTTCTGAAAATCCCCATTCTTGGGAGACCAGCCTGCTGCTCTGACTGTGACTTGGATCTAATTGATTCATTAGATGTTTTGTTGCTTTTGATAATTTTTTGAGCTAATTTGAGCCAAACTGATGATAATTGTTGGGAAGCAGAATCTTAAGGGGTTGATAAAAATGCTCCTAATTTTTTTTTTATAATATATTTTATTTATTTTTTACAGAGAGGAAGAGAGAGGGATAGAGAGCTAGAAACATTGATGAGAGAGAAACATCCATTGGCTGCCTCCTGCACACCCCGTTTCTATCCACTGAGCCAAAAATGGTTTCGGCTTTTTTTTTTTTTTTTGAGAGAGAGAGGGGTAAACATTGATTTGTTGTGCATTCATTGGTTGCTACTTGTATGTGCCCTGAGGAACCCAAAGCCTTGGCGTATCAGGCTGATGCTTTAACCAACTGAGCCCTGGCCAGGGCATCATTAGATGTTAACATAAAGGGTTCAGTGCCTGTGAGCATGGGGCATCAGAGTCCCAGGGTGACAAGATATGAATTTAGTAAATGCTGGTACTTTAAAAGATGTTCCCATTTTGTCTTGTAGAGTTGAATGAATAAATATTGACAGACTTGATTTAGCCTTATTTATTTATTTTAATACTAGAAGCTCAGTGCACGAAATTCATGCACGGTGGTGGTGGTGGGGGGTGTCCCTCAGCCCAGCCTGCACCCTCTTCAATCTGGAACCTCTTCAGGGATGTCCAACTGCCCTTTCACAATTTAGGACTGCTGGCTCCCAACTGCTCGCCTGCCTGCCTTTCTGATTGCCCCTAACCACTTCTGCCTGCCAGCCTGATCACCCCCTAACCACTCTCATGCCAGCCTGATAGATGTCTGACTCTCTCCTGCCAGCCTGTATGCCCCAAAGTTCCCTCCTCTGCCAGCCTGGTCACCCCTAACTGCCCTCCCCTACAGGCTTCATCGCCCACAACTGTCTTCCCTTGCAGTCCTGGTCCCTCCCAACTGCCCTCCCCTGCTTGCCTAATTGCCCATAACTGCCCTCTCCTGCTAGCTATCTTGTGGTGGCCATCTTGTGTCCACATGGGGGCAGGATCTTTGACCATCTGGGGCAGCCATCTTATGTGAGGGAGTGATGGTCAATCTGCATTATTACTCTCTTATTAGATAGGATGTTTTTATTGATTTCAGAGAGGAAAGGGGGCGGGGGGAGAATCATTGGTTGGCTGCCTCTTGCACGCCCCTACTGGAGATTGAGCCCACAACTTGACATGTGCCCTTGACGCTCTTGTCCACTGAGCCAAACTGGCTAGGGCTAGCCTCATTTATTTTTAATGAAGAAAATTGCCATGGGTGATGTATGCTCTTAGAACAGTCCATTCTGTGGACTCATCCTTGTTCATGTGAGATGATTGGGAAAACGGTGAGGCTTATAGGTGTGTGGCTGTCTTCCCCCCTGAGAAAACCCCCAGTACTGTGTGTGCTTACGGGCCTTCCTCGTGGCCCCTGCCCTGCTGCTCGAGCCCAGATGGGGAAGCCTGAAATCTGAGCGGAAGCACAGGACACTGCACTCCATGGCCTTGACCCGACTTGCAGTCGAACCCACCTGTGTGCCCTATTCTCCTCTTCAGTTCTCCCAGTGCTCTGTCATCTTTTATGGAGGGCCAACCCTTTAAAGGGTTGGGTCTGCTTCTCCATGATCAGATCCACGCGATGTGAGAATAAAGCCTCATGTGGTTCTTATTCTAGTCTTAGATTTTAAAGGGCACCCTCTCTCCCCGTTTAATGTCCTCACACTAAGTATATGCTACTTAATGTTTAGCTAGTACCGTGTTTCCCTGAAAATAAGGCATGCTCCGAAAATAAGACCTAGCGCATGGAAAGATAAGACATCCCCTGAAAATAAGACCTAGTACAATTTTGGGAGAAAAAATTAATATAAGACACGGTCTTATTTTCGGGGGAAAGGGTATTAGACAGGATTTGTTTTGTTAATCCTCACTTGAGGATATTTTCCCATTGATTTTTAGAGAGAATGGAGAGGGAGAAAGGGAAGCATCCATGTGAGGGATACACATTGATTGGTTGCCTCCTTCCATGCCCTGACTGAGGCCAGGGATCACCCTGCAGTCCAGGTACATGCCCTTGATTGGAATTAAACCCATGACCTTTCCATGTGCAGGCTGATGTGCTCCTGCCATTTCAGGATATTTTAAAATCTAGAAAGCTTGTGATTTTCATGTTACTATGACCTCTTGGCCATAGACTTGCCTCCAGAATGGGGTGGCTTTGAGGACGACATGGACTACATGACTGCTGTGGCTGAGACAGCAGCCCCCCTGTGAGGAACGAGAGTGTGAAGGCAGGAGGACGGTCATGCGGCAGCCTTTCAGTGCTCAGTGAGCAGGGCCATCTCAGCCTCACGTTTGTCCTCTCAGCAAACACTTTTCTACTGATGGAGATGTGTGTATTATGTTCTCTGGGTTTTAGAGCTACTTAATTTAGTTCTGAATGAAAAAGGGGGTTTGTGGCTCATTTTCTTGTCTCATTCTGTTTCAAGACTATTGGATTTTTGGACTTTGGTTATGATCGATACCTTTTTACTCTTTTAAAGGTATCGGAAACTGGCATTGAAGTGGCACCCAGATAAAAATCCTGAGAATAAAGAAGAAGCGGAGAGGAAATTCAAACAAGTAGCTGAGGCGTATGAGGTGCTCTCCGATGGTAAGTGACCCCAGGGCAAGACCTCACTGGGCAGTGGTGACCAAGACGACTACTTTTGACTTTCCTGGTCGGTTGAGAGCATAGGTATTGAGTGCTAATGGAAGTCAGGTCCATTTGCCTAGTTTCGTGAGTCATGCTAAAGCTTAACTGCAAATGAATCCAGTCCACAGTTCTTGGTGAAGAGGAAACACATCTGGGTTCTGGGGTAGTGGGGCTCTATAAGGAATCCGAAAAACCACTGGTCAGCCTTGCCAGGAAGCAATACTAGATAACATAATGTGAGTCAAGGTAGAGGCATTTGAAAGGGTAGAGGCTGATTTCACTTGATGTGTCTGCATAGGTCAGGGTCACTAATTTTTTTTTATTAAATACTAGAGGTCAGGCATGAAAATGTATGTACTGGAGGGTGGTCTCTCAGCCTGGCCTGCTCCCTCTCACAGTCTGGGAGCCCTCAGGAGTGAAAAGTGATGCCCCATCACACCTCTGCATGTCTGCGCCTCAGGCCGACTCTGGGCGGCTGGGCAGCTGACATGTGAGGCATGCCTGCGCTTGGGGCTGCAGCTGGGCAGCCGCCATCCAAGGCTTGCCTGCACCTTGGGCCAGCCCTGGAGTGCTGAGGGGGCTGGGGGACTATGGAGGTAGGTGCATGGAGTGGCTGGGCCCGCCCCCAGGCAGCACACCGGCTGCCCCAGTGGGGCTGAGTGGACTGGGTGCCACCATCTTGTGGCTGTGGGTACTGTCATCTTTGAGGGCCGAGCAGTCAATTAACATATTTCCTCCTTATTGGCTGTATGTGCAGCAGTCAATTAACATATTCCCTCCTTATTGGCTATAAGGTGCAGCCATTTTTGAGGTGGGACAGTCAACATTCCCTCCTATTGACTGGGTGTCACCATCTTTGAGTGTGGGGCAGTAAATTAGCATATTGTCTCCGATTGGCTGTGGTTGCAGTCATATTTGTGAGGATGTGAGGGTCAATTAGCATATTCCTTTATTAGATAGGATATTTCTTTTATTGATTTCAGAGAGGACAGGAGAAAGAACGAGAGATAAAAACATCAATAATGAGAGAATTATTGATTGGCTGCCTCATGCATACTCTCTACTGGGGGTTGAGCCTGCCTCGAATCAAACCTGGGGCCCTTCAGTCTGCAGGCTGACACTCTATCCACTGAGTCAGGTCGTCTAGGGCTGGGTTCACTATTAAAAAGTCATTTTTTATGTTGGGACAAACACCATTTTACGATCAACCATATCAACAGTTACTATATGGGAGCACCTTGTTGTATCCGTTTGTGTCTCCCTTCTTTATTTTAAAGGAAGGCCTTGGCATCTAATTTCACAAGTAACTTTGGTTACTTATGAAAGCACAAGAACACGGACACTGTCAGTCATCTACACTAGTAAAAAAGAAACATGCAAATTGACCGTCTCTCTGCTATAGCCACCAGCCATATCAGGAGTGAGGATGCAAATTAGCCCAACAAAGATGGCAGCAGCCATGCAACTGGAACAAGCAGGAGGCTTGGGTTGCCCCTGGCAATGGAGGAAACCAAGCGCCCCCACAACCTGACCTCCACTCAAGAAGGGGCTGGGGGACCTTTGTCGCTGGGGGGCATGGCCAGTCTGTACCCAGCCCTCAGCCCCTCACCCAGGCTGTCTAGGCACTCCAGTGGGGACCCTCATCCCATGGGGGCGTGGCTGGCCTGCAAACGACCACAGGCCCCTCGCCTAGGCTGCCCCTTGCCCCAAGGGAACCTCCACCCTAATCTGGGACACCCTTCAGAGCAAATCAGCTGGCCCCACCTGTGCACCAGGCCTCTATCTATACTAATAAAAAGGTAATATGCTAATTAGATTGAGAGACCTTCCAGGAGACCTTCTGGACGTTCTTCTGGACAAAGCCATGGTGGCGGGGCCGAGGTAGAGGTGGTTAGAAGCCAAGAGGGGAAGGCAGTAGGGGGTGATCGGGTCAGGATGGGATTGCATTTATGGTGATTAGACTATGGGTGGGGGGGTGGGTGAGGGTGGGGGTGATCAGGCCAGTGGGGGAAGGCAGTTGGGGGTGAGCAGGCCAGCAGGGGGCCAGTTGGGGGCGAACACACTGGCACGTGGTGGGGGTTGCAGTTGAAAGTGTCAGGCTGGCAGTGGGGGTAGCATTTGTGGCGAGAAGGCTGGTGGCCGGGGGAAGTTGGGGCGAGCAGGCTGGCAGGCAGAGTGGTTGTGAGCAATCAGGCAGGTAGGTGAGCAGTTAGCCAGCAGTACCAGATTGGGAGAGGGATGTCCGACTGCCGGTTTAGGCCCTTATCCCTGTAAACTGGCAGTCGGACATCCTTCAAGGGGTTCCAGATTGGAGAGGGAGCAGGCCACGCTGAGGGACACTCTTCCCCCCACTGCATGAATTTCATGCACTGGGCCATTGGTCTTATTATAATGAAGCATTAAGGTCTTAAATTGATGGTCTAGCTATTGAGCTGGACTAACATGAACACAGGGGACCTAAGTCTTTTTTGTGGGTTCCCTAGGCTAGGAACATTAGTGTATATTGAGCTCAAATTCGAAATTTGCAGAAAGAGGATTTTTTTTTTAAATATTATTGATGTTCTACAGAGAGGAAGGGAGAGAGGGAGTTAGAAATGTCGATGAGAGAGAAACATCGACCAGCTGCCTCCTGCACACAGAGAGAGGATCTTTAAAACCCCTTTAAAACTTTATTGGCCTCTTTTCATTTTTCAGAGAGGAAGGGAGATGATAGGCAGAAACAGACTGACTCCACAAACTGGGCATGTGCCCTGTCTTTTAATTACTGAGCCACACCAGCCAGGCCTCTTTTTTTTTTTTTTTTAAACAATTGATTTTTAGCCCTAGTCAGTTTGGCTCAGTGGGTAGGGTGTTGGCCTGCAGACTGAAGGGTTCTGGGTTTCATTCTGGTTGAGAGCACATATCTGTTTGCAATATTGATTCCTTAGTAGGGGTCGCGTAGGAGGCAGCCGATCAATGTTTCCCTTTCATCATTGATGTGTCCATGTCCCCCCCCACTCCCCTCCAAAATCAATATAAAAATACTCCCCTCCAAATTGACTTTTAGAGACAGGAAGGGAAAGAGAGAAACACAGATGAGAGATTTAACATTGACTGGCTGCCTCCTTCATGGCCCCTACCAGGAATTGAACATGCAACCTAGGTATGTTTCCTGACTAGGACTCGAACCGGCAATCTCTTGGTTCCTGGGTCGAGGCTCAACTACTGAGTCACACCAGCTGGGCTTGTTGCTCTCACCCCCCCCCTTTTTTTTTTTTGAAGGAGTGTGCAATTTTCACGGTCTCTTACTCAGCCTTGAACCCCAGCCAGGCTGCTGGGATTCCCCTTCACAGGAACAGCTATTGTTCTTACCCGGACTCTGGTTCCTGGCTGGGAGTGGTTTGCTCCTGTGCCTGACTTCCCCCAGCCCTGCATTTCATCGCGCGGTTTTGGAGAACCCGTGGTGGTGTGCCAGAAGAACCGACAGGGTTGCTGTGTAAATAGGGCTGCATTGCCATTCTCTTCATTCTAGAAGGTAATGAGGACAGGAAAGTTGCATGTCATGAAAGGCTTGGCTAGGTTGTAGGTCAGGGCAGGTTCCTTTTCTTGCTTTCAGTTCCTACCTTCACTTCTAGGAAGAATTTTGTTACTTTGTGATATGATGTAATGTAGCACATGTCTCTCTGGGTGGTAAAGTGAAATATTTAATGTTTATAATCATGTTTTAAACTTCATAATTATTCATTATCTGAATATGGAGAGCTGTACTTAGATTTCCCTGAACCCCCGTTGTCATTTAAAGTAAGCTGGTCCCAACTCCTTATCACTGAGAGTGAACACAGAAGTGTGTTGTTTTTGACTTGCAACTTGGAAAACTTTATCTATTGGACTTGGATGGGACGGGAACTTGGTTTTATTGACTTTACTTTTTAAATTTACAGCTAAAAAACGGGACATCTATGACAGATATGGCAAAGAAGGATTAAATGGTGGAGGTGGAGGTGGAGGTATGTAAATGTTGATTTTTCTTTCTGGCAACAAAAGGTTTTGGAATTTGTTAGCTCGCTGGGACAGTGAGTTTCAATGAGTACAGATGAAGCCCCTGGCTGAGGGAGTGGAAGGACATAGCGACAGCATTTACATAGCCTAGTAGGAGGCTTTTGTTAGACTCACATGATATATTATACCGTGAGTTTGTACACCCACATCACCACCCTTTATGTCAAAATATCCTTGGGGGTTAAAAATAGATCTACTGAAAAACTAAAATCACTAGCTCTGGTGGTAAAGCTAGACAGGTGTATTTTTTTTTTTTTATTTTTATTCTCACCTGAGCGAAAGAACAACATCGATTGGTTGCATCTTTTACACGCTACAACCAGGGGTCAAACCCAGAACCTGGGCATGCGCCCTGACTGAATCAGCTTGTCATCTTTTGGTGTATGGGCGAATGTTTGAGCTGACAGAGCCACCTGGCCAGCGCTAGACAGGTATATTTTTGACGAAAAGTTTCTGTAATCGCCTGTGGTGTACATTTGGAATCAAGGCTCCAAACCTACCCTAGTACACTTGGTTTACATGAAGTTCCCTAACAAAAAATAAACCTGGTGAGAGAGGATGTGCTGATGACACATTGAGAGATGGTGGGAAGGAAGGGAAGCCACATTGCTGACATGACCTTCTGGAGCACTGAAGTCCAAACACATGTCAACCTGAGTCAGGGCTTGAATGTTAGAGCCTCAGGTTTATGGAATACTTTAAAAAAATTTTTTTTTTAATATATTTTTTTTAATATATTTTTAATTGATTTTTTACAGAGAGGAAGGGAGAGAGATACAGAGCTAGAAACATCGATGAGAGAGAGTCATCGATCAGCTGCCTCTTGCACACCCCCTACCGGGGATATGCCCGCAACCAAGGTACATGCCCCTGACCGGAATCGAACCCGGGACCCTTCAGTCCCCAAGCCGACGCTCTATCCATTGAGCCAAACCGGTCCCTGCTACTTTTAAAATTTTTTTAATTTAATATATTTTATTGATTTTTCACAGAGAGGAAGGGAGAAGAATAGAGAGCTAAAAACATCGATGAGAGAGAAGCATCGACCAGTTGCCTCCTACACAACCCCTACGGGGGATGTGTCTGCAACCAATGTACATGCCCTTGACCGGAATCGAATCTGGGACCTTTCAGTCCTCAGACCAATATTCTATCCACTCAGCCAAACTGGTTTCGGCTGGAATACTTTTTAAGGTCTTGAAATTTGCTAATGTTCTGTGGACAAGCGATTTCCCTGAACAAGAACTGATGAGCGAGTGTGTTCTGCTTGTGCAGGTGGAAGTCACTTCGACAACCCGTTCGAGTTCGGCTTCACATTCCGGAACCCAGATGACGTGTTCAGGGAATTTTTTGGTGGAAGGGACCCGTTTTCATTCGACTTCTTTGGTAAGTTCATTGTCAGGGTTGCTGTCTACTTGGTGTCACCATGACTTACAGGAGGACTGGTGGCGCCTTTTCTGTTTAACAATGTTGTATTTTGTCATCTGACTTGTCATTTAGGAATTCTAATGATCTCTTTCCTCTTCTAGGGGACTTCTGAATTTTACCTTGCACATTAACATAATGAAGGTTTTTATGTATTCTTTTATAATTAACTTCCTTTTGCCACCTGAATTAGACAGGTGCCCAGGTATGGAAATGCGCTCCTGTTCCGTGGGAGCTGACCTCTGAGTGTGGTTCTGATGGAAGCCCGAGCCACAGTGCGCAGTGGGGAGGACCTGGGATCGCTGCTGCTTGTGTCTCAGTGCGGTGTGTGGGGTGTTGTGGTGAGTCAGGCCTTGCACAGCGACCTTGGTCCAGAGGATGGTGTTTCTAGAGGAGCTGAGCTGTTCCCGCTGTTTGTCCCGTCACCTCCGTGTCCAGGAGTGTCCGAAACCCAGGCGGAGCACCTGTGCTGAGTGACCGGGGAGCAGGGCACAGTTCCTCCACTGCCTTTTCTTCTTTTGGCTCATGGAGGGGAAGCACATCCTGTGTGAACCCGTTCTTCTGGAGCCTGGTTTTGATGGGACCGAACAGCCCTGCCCTCTCTGCTCGAGGAGGGGCAACTCGCTGCTGAGGCCGGCAGGTGCTGGGCCTTCCTTGTGCTCAGGGCCCAGGGTGTTTCAGAGACTTTCTTGTTCTGCTGTGATGTGGCCTGGCTGTAAGAGAGTAGTTTATGTGATATCTGTAAAATGTTTACTTAGGAGCCTTTTAATTGACAAATGGAACAATGAAAGCAAAGCAGAAGAGTTTTCGGAGGTGGGGGCCCACTGTGTGATTCTTTTGAAGACTTGTAGGCTTGGACTGCCTCCCTGTGAGCCACGGTGGGGAACCTTGTTTCTGCCTAGGGCCGTTAATATTTGTGACATCGTTCTCAGGCCATAAGTAGCCTGCTCTGTTCTGTCAAATACTTAATCAACTCACTCTTAATGCCTTGGCCAAGGTCACACCAAATGATTTGGCGGGTTTTATGTGGCCTGTGGGTACGATGTTCCCCACCCCTGCTGTAGGTGAATGTAATTATCTGTCCCTTCTGAAATTGCCCTCTGTGTGTCAGAACAAACCTTAGCAGGTGTGTTTGGGGAGCAGGGGCTGTCATTCTGGGTTAGGACTGGGCCTGCCCTTGTCTTCCTGGGACTTGTTTAGCACGATTTGTGTCTGGTGATTTTATCTTATTTTTTTATGTCTCGTTTTTTTTTTTTTTTTAAGAAAACAGTGGAAGGGAGGAGGCCCGAGGTAATGAAGTGTGAGCTGATTGGGTTCTCCTTGGGAAAACGTCCGACAGGCCAGTCTAAGCTTCCTCGTTGACGTGGTTTTCCCTGAGCAGTTCTTTCTAGGGGAAAGGAGATACAGAATAAATAACGTGTTCCTTTACCCACCATAAGCTTTTTTAACCTCTTGACTTAATCTTCCAAACGATGAGATTGTGTGTAAAGAAGCCTTTATGTGCCTGGGCTTTGCTTTCAGACGGCTTACGGACACAGGGCACATTTTGGTGGCAATTTCTTCTGCTGGCCTCAGAGGCCAGTTTAGGTGGGGGCCGGTCCCATTATCATCCTGGGCTCCATGTGCTAACGCCAGGACTGCCGGGTCCCCATGCGTAGGGTGGCAGTGACACCTCTCCAATCCATTTTTATAGGTGTCTTAGGGGACTTCCACTTTCAGGCCGTCAGGATTTACACGCAGGAGGAGCTGCTGCACGGCTGCTGCATGTTCGGAGTGACGCTGCGGCCTGCTGGCGGTACGTGCGGCGGCAGCGTGGCCAGGATGGTTGGTTATCAGCACCCGCCTCCCGGGGACTCAGCCCTGTTGTAACGCCCATTTATGACAGCATGTTATGTTTTTGTTCCAATTTTCACACGGCTGTTTTTCTCTCTGGTTCTGGCCTCCAAAGTAGTTCAAGATGTATCACAAGGCATTCTGAGCTGAAGTTATTTGTCAGTTATTAGCCCTCACGTGCGACTTAGACTTCCCGGGTAGAATAGAGGGTGGAGGGTGAAGGGTGTTGGACAGGCTGTAAACAGGTTTGTGCCTGAGAACCAAGCTGCAAGGATGTTCGCTGACAGGAGGGCTTGGGCCTGGTCCTGCTGACATTGAACCCTCCTGGACGGCAGGCGTCCTCCCGGGGAGAAGAGGTGGAGGTGGACTCAAACCAGGACGGACGCACGGTGCAGCCCGACTTCTGAGCCGCTGACCTGCAGCTCTCCCCAGGCCCAGCCACAGAGACAGCCCAACCAGAGCGTTAATTGGCCCCAGGAGGAGCACTCTTCCTTTATTTTGACAGGGCACTCAGTAAACTACACCCTCACAGAGGAGTCCTGGCAGGACTCGCTGTGGGGGATACCTGTCTGGGTGTAGCCTGACATGCATTTGCTTGCATTCTCATGTCGGAAGGCCAAGGCCAAACTTGAAAATCCAAAACTGTTTTCAGAGCCTATTGATGTCAGCATACATTCCCTTCATCTTGGCATCTGTCTTTGAGATGAGCCCTAGTGAGTAAAAAGGCCTGGGAACTTAGCCTTTGGAGGAAGCTAATTGTGTGGCTGAGCCCGGTGCCCGGGTTGTGCAGTGAGCGTCACTTTGCTCTCCAGGGTTCGAGGAGATGGACAGTGAGGAGCTGGAGCCCAGGGAGGAGCTGGAGCAGCCTGGCGGGGACCAGCCAGTGGAGCACGCCCCGAGCCAGGGGGACAGTGACACGCTGGAGGTGATCTCCAGTGAGGAGCTCGAGGGCGTCAGTGAAGATGAGCTGAGCGAGGGCTGTAGTTGGGGCCAGGCCGAGCTCCCGAGTGAGGAGCTGGAGTTCCTATCCAGCGAGGAGGATGAGGCCAGCCCCAGGGACGAGGAGGAGCTCAGCGAGGACTGCGAGGAGCTGTTGAGCGAGGACAGCGGTCCTGAGCTTGAGGTGCTGCTGGCGACCCCGGGATGGGATGGCCAGCTCACAGAGGGCCGGCCCTGGAATGTGTATCTGGAATAAAGAGTTTCTGCTACTGCTGTGTGGTTGAAGCGCATCCTTGGGTCCTTGGTCAGACACCACAGCGCTAGAGACATGGGGGCCGGTGGGGGTCTGGGAGCAGCTGTTGTGCTTGGGTCTTTCTGGTGCCAGGGCCCCAGGGCCAGAACCACAGTGCTGGGGGCTGGGAACCCAAGGCCGGCCCGCGGGGTGGCTGTGAGGGCCTCTGAGCTGTCTTGGCCTCAGGGCCCTCGGCGGATAGAAGGCCCGGACATCATGTTTCCTCTGCAGGTTCGTCTCTGCAGGGGCTCTTTTGAAAAAGGCTTCTAGCGACAAGGGTTAGGGCCCACCCTCTGACCTTTCCAAGTGAGGTGATCTTACCGGTTCTGGGGTCAGGAGTTTGTCTTCCTGGCAGTGTTCAACTCGGAAACAGCAGATTGCAAAGGAGACGGAGGGGAATGCTTCAAGTTAGACCTGCTGAGAGAAATCGGGAGCCAAGGCAGGGCCACATGGGCACCGTAGGGGGAAGGAAGCCCCCGAGTGACCTATGCCTGCGTGGTCCCTGAGACATGTGGACGACAGTGGTGCGACACAGGCTAGAAGCGTTAAAATGAAATAATTTCTTGCGAAGCCCATGGTCATGAGTGAGGAGCACTGAGGGGAAGCAGTTACCCTCACGTGTTTCTCTCCTGTGGGTTGGGGAGGCCTAGGAGCAGAAATGGTTGCACATGTAAGGATGTGGAGCTGCGTTTGAAAATAGTTAATTTCACTTAAGATTATGCTGGCAAATGAGGGTGATGCTGTGTGGATGATATTCAGTTGTTGCTAGTGTGTACTATTGTTTCCCAGCCACTGCTTCCCTGACACTACCCCTCTCCCCCAAATAGGGAAAGGTCATTCATCCTGAGAATGGGCTGGTTCCTCCTGGACCGCCGGACCAGCAGCGGCAGACACCCCAGAGCGTAGCAGGCATGTCTGAGTCCCTGGCCAGCCCATTGCTCTGCCTTCTGCTGTTTGGTTTCCCGGTTTCCCGGGGGTAGCCAGCACTTGCCTAGGGCTGGTCCTCATTCTCTGTAGTTTGCTGGTAACCCTGGGTCATAATTTTCCTGAGTCCCTTGTAGGCTTTGCGCATGTCTCGTGGAGTTTTGGTCCCTCTGGTCAAGGGAGCTACTTGCCTTTGGAAGGTGGTGCAGGTGTCCTAGGCTCAGGTATAGGGTGAAGGTAAACATGAGGTAAGAGGAGGGGGCAGAAAGGCACCCACAAGATGAGATACATGGTTTTCCTTCTGTAAGGAGGTCATTTCTTTGGGAGTCAAGTTCATGGAGCTCATTGGGTCCAGCACCTGCATCTTGGTTCCTTGTATAGATTTTTGCAAATCTTGAAAAATACAGTGCTACAGCCAGATCTAGGGTATAACCAGAATCTCTACTTTGTAACAGAGGAGCTCTGGGGAGTGGACATGGGTTTACTACCAGTTTGGCTGATACTGAGCCTGCTGCTGAGCACTAGGCAGTGCCCCCAGCCTCACCAGGGGCTCCAGTTTCATGGCTGCATTCTGTTTCTGCTTTTGAATGTGTAAGAAATGACACTTTAAAAATGAGTTGTACTTTTAGTTGGTGTTACTGGGATTAGTGGGTGTTGTTGGGGTTAGCTGGGAGATCTCTTGGAAGTCTAGAATTTCAAGTGTTAGCCTTTTCTGAGGGTTGCTGTGTAGCTCAGCTTTGAGACTGGAGAATAGACAGAATGCTTTCCTGTTCTATTTTGTTTTGTTGTCCTTTGTGCCAATGTTACGTGTGCTGGGTGGTACTAGTGTGGGCCACTTGGCCTGAAGCCACACCTCAGGCTTGTCTGCGGAGGGCGGTGGTGCTCGTACTTGGTGTGGGTTAGGACACACCATAGGATTGGTTTCTCTTCTTTGCTCTCCAATACTGAATTGTGGTAAAACTTCAGAAAATGT